ATTAGCACACTCTAGAATATTATAGTAAGTATCCTGTGCCTAACAGCATAGCAAGGGCGCCTAACAGCTGGGTGAGCAGCACTTCGGATTCGTAGTCATGAGGTTCCACGTTCGATCCCCGGTGGAGGCGGAGACAAATGGGCAAAATGTTTCTTTCACCTACTGTTCACCTAGCAACAAATAGGTACCTGGGTGTTAGACAGCTGCTACGGGCTGTTTCCTGAGGGTGTGTAACAAAAAGAAGACCTGATCGAGGACCGGGCCACGCAGACGCTAAGCCCCGAAATCATCTCAAGATAACCTCATGAAGATCGTAGTTCTTGTTCAAAGGTCACAGTTGGAGTGCTTACCTCCGCTGTAAGTAACAATATCCCAGACTAATTCTGGCAGTTACAATGTCACTGTCAAGTTGGATGTTTTGTGCTCTCTACACAATAGTTCTTATTTGTAAACATAACTTTATATTAGCCGGTAAGTAACAATAACGTGGCTGAAAATTAGACGCCCAAGCCGTAAACGGGAATATATACACTTGATAATGCTCTAGAACGGACCGAAACGTCATTTGTTTATTATCAGATTTATAGCCAGGGTGTCTTTGGACTAGTGCTTTCTACCCTTTTGTGTCAGTTTCTTGAAGTAGTGTGCTTGTGACAATAGGGTTCAGAACCTGCCATTGAAGCACCAGGTCTGGTTCAATGGCAGGTTCACTGCACGCAGCTTGTCTCTGTCCACACGACAGGTTTTAACGCTCTTACACACAGAAATCACAATAGCGTGATGCATCAAGTTCGAATCCTCGTCACGGCCCTTGTGGATTTGTGTAAAGCTCTTGTTCAGTTATATTGTCCATAATTACTGTTACAACATTCCTCGAATCTGTTTTACATATTGGGGTTTAAGTGCTTGAAGAACTGACTTTGAAATACAAAAAAAAAAAAAAAAAATTACCCAGAACTGGAAAGTAGTGGGGGGCGGGGTTGGTCTTGGTCATACCGGTGTTACTGGGGACCAGGTGGGCGCGTCCGGTGGCCCGGCAGGTGTAGTGACAAGGCTCCTGTCAAACTGTCCTCATACAAATTACGTCGGAATTTGGCCGTTTGTCCGTATGACACTTGTCAGTTCTCCGTATGGCCGAAAATGGACGTAATTTGAAAATTAAATGATTTTTTTTTTTCAAAACAGTAAGTTAAGGGTCCTCTGGTATGTAAGGAGGGCAGGAAATTCTCCTAAAGTGTCAAAACGTCATGAAAAACATTAATTGAAAGTTTCCTCTCCTAACCTTTCCGAGTAAGCCAGAGGACTCAAATAGAAAACGGGACAGTACATCACTTAAGTAAGCAGATTTTGAATTACGTCCATTTTGGCAATAGAGCATACTAGCCAAAAGCGACGTTATTTGTAAGAGGACGGGCTGCCTGTGGTGTGTGGCCAGGCGCCTCTCTCGTCTTGTACATTAAAACTTTGTTTTGTCTGTCTCATTTGGGTATAATGTCCATGTCCACGGTTACCTTACCTTGAAGTTATCTTGAGGTGCGTCCGGGGCTTAGCGTCCCCGCGGCCCGGTCGTCGACCAGGCCTCCTGGTTGCTGGACTGATCAAACCAGGCTGTTGGACGCGGCTGCTCGCAGCCTGACGTATGAGTCACAGCCTGGTTGATCAGGTTGGTCCCAATATTTACCGCGTCATGTCAAGAGTGCCCATGACCTCACCAAAATTTAATATAGTATATGAAGCAAAATAATAAATGCCGACATAGTTAAATTTACAGACAATTTCAGTTATAAGATTGATTGATTGATGAAGATTAAGCCACCCTAAAGGTGGCACGGGCATGAATAGCCCGTAAGTGGTGGCCCTTTTGAGCCATCACCAGTATCTATAGATGATACTGGAGATCTGTGGAGGTGTGACTGCACCCTGCGTGACGGGAGATGTCTCCCGGACCAAATGGTTGGTGCAGTTATAAGGTGTAGGAAGCCTATATCAAGGTCCCCCCCCCCTCCCCCTCTCCATAGCTCGAAATATTGAACCAGGTTGTAAATATTCTCCAAAATATTTTGGAGAATATTTTTCGAAATAATATTTTCAGTCAATTTTTTTAAATTTCTCCAGGCTGTAAACCATATCAGTTAATTGAGTCCCGTCCTGGGATCCAACCCGGGACTCTATCGCGAGTCGAGAACGTAACCACTCTGCTACAGAACTTTATATATACCCCATTTAAGTGCGTCATCAATGGCCGTAGTTAGTCTTAATATCAAGCTCATCTTAGTGAGTGCCCGCTGCCCTCGGCAGCGGGCACTCTGCCCTCGATTGTTTCAAGCGCGGGTTGGACATGTATATGAGTGGGATTGAGTGGTTATAAATAGGAGCTGCCTCGTATGGGCCAATAGGCCTTCTGCAGTTACCTTTGTTCTTCATAGAGTTCCAAGAAGCAGGACACGGTGCACAGTGCATAGGCATACTTTATATGGCTTCTTTAAAATCCAGTGAGGATAGATTGATTGATGAAGATTAAGCCACCCAAGAGGTGGCACGGGCATGAATAGCCCGTAAGTGGTGGCCCTTTTGAGCCATCACCAGTATCAAAAGATGATACTGGAGATCTGTGGAGGCGCAACTGCACCCTGCGTGACAGGAGATGTCTCCCGGACCAAATGGTCAGTGGGGATAGGGTGACATCTGATATATAATTTCATGTTGGTGTCACATTCATGAAAAATTCATTTGGATTATCAATGTTTAGTGGCTTGCTGAAAACAGTCGTACTGATTCCTCAGTATTTCGCTCATTTCTTTGTTATCATCAGTGAAAGTTCCACCTCCCTTTCGCAGGGGCCCAATACAAGATGTAGTTTTTACTCATTTATATATAATCATTTATATATATTATAAACAACAGAGGTCCCAGGACATAACAAAGGGGATATTAATAGGGTATTAAAAGTATCAACACAAGACAGAACACGAAACAATGGGTATAAATTGGATAAGTTTAGATTTAGGAAAGACTTGGGTAAATACTGGTTCAGTAACAGGGTTGTTGATTTGTGGAACCAATTGCCGCGTAACATTGTGGAGGTGGGGTCCCTCGATTGTTTCAAGCATGGGTTGGACATGTATATGAGTGGGATTGGGTGGTTATAAATAGGAGCTGCCTCGTATGGGCCAATAGGCCTTCTGCAGTTGCCTTTGTTCTTATGACAGAGCCCTGAGGTACTCCACTAACAACTATCTTTCATATGAAGAAAGATTAACAAAGCTTAAGTTGCATTCACTGGAAAGGCGAAGAGTTAGGGGTGACATGATAGAGGTTTACAAGTGGATGAATGGATATAACAAAGGGGATATTAATAGGGTATTAAAATTATCAACACAAGACAGAACACCAAACAATGGGTATAAATTGGATAAGTTTAGATTTAGGAAAGACTTGGGTAAATACTGGTTCAGTAACAGGGTTGTTGATTTGTGGAACCAAGTGCCGCGTAACGTGGTTGAGATGGGGTCCCTCGGTTGTTTCAAGCGCGGGTTGGACATGTATATGAGTGGGATTGGGTGGATATAGATAGGAGCTGCCTCGTATGGGCCAATAGGCCTTCTGCAGTTACCTTTGTTCTTATGTAACAAGACACCTGGTGTGGTTCTACAGCTATATCTTGCTCTGGTTAGGCCCCATTTAGATTATGCAGTTCAGTTTTGGTCGCCGTACTATAGAATGGATATAAATTCACTTGAACGTGTCCAGCGTAGGATGACAAAGTTAATTCCTCAAATTAGAAGTCTTTCATATGAAGAAAGATTAATAAAGCTTAAATTGCATTCACTGGAAAGGCGAAGAGTTATGGGTGACATGATAGAAGTTTACAAGTGGATGAATGTACATAACAAAGGGGATATTAATAGGGTATTAAAAGTATCAACTCAAGACAGAACACGAAGCAATGGGGTATAAATTGGATATGTTTAGATTTAGGAAAGACTTGGGTAAATACTGGTTCGGTAACAGGGTTGTTGATTTATGGAACCAATTACCACGTAACGTGGTGGAGGTGGGGTCCCTCGATTGTTTCAAGCGCGGGTTGGACATGTATATGAGTGGGATTGGGTGGTTATAGATAGGAGCTGCCTCGAATGGGCCAATAGGCCTTCTGCAGTTACCTTTGTTCTTATGTTCTTATGAAAGATTTCTAATTTGGGGAATTAACTTAGTCATCCTACGCTGGACACATTCAATTGAATTTATATCCATTCTATAGTACGGCGACCAAAACTGAACTGCATAATCTAAATGGGGCCTAACCAGAGCAAGATATAGCTGAAGAGCCACACCAGGTGTCTTGTAACGCTTTGATTAATAAATCCCAGTGTCCTATTTGCCTTATTACGAACATTCATGCATTGATCCTTTTATTTTAAATTCTTACTAATCATAACTCCCAGATGCCTTTCGCAATCCGACTTCGATTTGGTCTATGATTTGGTCAAATTTCTTAATACAATGATAAAGATAACATGTTTGCAGCATTGAGTGAGGCTATCCCCAAGCATCTGACCTCCAAACTTGGAGAGGTGCAGACATTTCCTGTTGTATATATATATAGATACTGTATATGATATTATTCACTAAGATGTTTATTAATATTGTACTTAGTATAGTATTAACAAACCTCTGTATTATAATAATACATAGCAAGTTGAGCTACACTTGAAACAGGGTCAGGTGGTTACAGTAAGTCAATAATTGCTACATACTACAATACAACAGTATATACATACTGTATATCCTGTTGTATTCTCTCTTCTTGTTCATCGTGTGTATATAGTTATGTATCATCAGTGTACACTACAGTATGTTGAAAGACCATTTTATTCTTCAGCTTAGGTCTTGTCTGTACATTTATAATACAGTAGTTAGTGTTATAGTTGAAACATTACTGTAATTCTATTACAGTAATTACTGTAATTCTAATATGCCTTTTGTCTTATTTGTTTTAGGATCAAGATGGGTCGATACACAGGGAAGAAGTGCCGGTTGTTGACCATGTTTGGTCTGACAGCTACCTTCTTCTTGGTGGAGCTCATTGTTGGCTACATCACAAATTCTATGGCACTAGTGGCCGATAGTTTTCACATGCTCAGCGATGTATTGGCACTCATCATTGCATTCTTAAGTGTCAAGGTATGTACAAGTTTTAACCCTTCCATGTTGTTGTTGTTGAGTTAGGGGCGACGACGATCGTGGGATCGGATGCGCCCCGGCGTACCCGTGAAGGGTGAATCGCAAAGCCAGGAAAGGCGAAATGCTAAGCCAAAACGCGAAACGAGTGACGCCAAGCACTAGAAACTAATATGCCACACGGCAAAGCTACGCACAAAGGGAGAGGCAGAAGCACATAATAGAACAGGGCACACAGCATGTCTTAGAGCAAATACACAAGAAATCAGAGCACATACTTGCCCGGGAACTTGGCCCGCGGGAATCTTACATTGAACGCCTCCCAGAGCACCCATTGCCAAGGGTCTCGTCCATCCACCGGGGACGCCATAACATCCGGAACCGGGGCAACAAACACCTGCAAACTGGGGACCCAGATGGTAGAACTCATGAGGCGAGAAGTCGCCACTCGCCCCCACAGGAAGGGAACTTGCCCCCCACGAAAGCACTCCGGTCCGTCAGACAGCAGTAACTCGGCAATCTTCGACCAGTGACCTGGTGGCATCACAGACGCCGGCAACACGTCCCCCAGGGTCCCAACGCGCACCCGCACCACAGGGGTACCCGCGGCCCCGGGCACACCACCAGACGACAGCAGGGAACCCGGACGGCGCGCATCCTTCCGTAACGTCACCACCAGGCCACACCCAGCACCAGAGTCCACACCATCCCTGGCAGTGGAAGCCACCACCCCCCACTGTGGAGAGTCCCCCGACGGAGAAAGAACCGAAGGCACGTCCGAGACACAGGCACCAGCACCGGCAGGCACATGGACCTCCGCCACCGCGGAGACATCGACGCATCCGTATCCACACTGTCAACATCCGAAGCCCCACAGCCACTGAAGTCACCAACGTCGGCCCAGGAAGAAGACGAACGCTGGGAACGTTTGGGCACCGGCCGGATATCGTCCGAGCCGGTAAGTGACCCAGAAACACGGGTACCACGAGCCGAAGGAACCGACGCCAGGACGGCAGCAGCCTCTACCACAGGGGGAACCGGGCCACACACAGCAGGAGGCTCCGCAGTCACCCCAGCACCAAGCACATCCGGGACCCGAGTCACGGACACAGGGCCAGGCGCAGCATCAGAAGACGAGGGAGAAGACAGCGACGTCACACAGGGAGCTCCAGGAAGGCCCACGGGAGCAGCTGGAACAGCGACAGGATCAGGCAGACCAACCGACGGTACCTCAAGAACCGGAGGAGGGACGGCAACAACCGGAGGAACGGCAGGCGTCGCCGGGGAAGACGCAGCAGCAGACAGGACGCGCACCACCTCATCAACATCACCGGAGACTGCCTCCAGAGGGAGCGGCGGGAAATCCCCCGGCGGAGATTCGTCCTCCCCCACGAACTTAATAACAACCCGATGGGCCGTAACTAGCTCCACACCGTAAACAGCTTCCACCGGGACACGAAGCATGTCACACATCACCATCTCGATGGTCGGATAATCAGCCTTACAAGTGAACTCCAGGCCCACGGAGTTCACACACTGAACAGGAGGAAGATGGCCCCCCATGACAGAACTGCCACGTCAACGCAGCCAGGCAGGCAACAAAACTGGTAGGGCAATGACGCCCACACCACCTGGCGACCAAAACAGCAAACAACTCCAACAGCCACGGAGGGTCGAGAAACGTCCTCACTCCACGGCTGCCAACAGTTGACCAACCCTTCCATGTCAATCATCTCACGTAGGTTTGCCACACGTAGGTTCGTATACTTATACAGAAAACAACAAGTGGGTATCAACTGACACACTTTATGTAAAATACTTCCATACATTATGCATGCAATGCAGGGTAACAATGCATGTCAGTCACCAGAAGAATGGTAGCACAATGAACACAGCCTGGAGTTTAGTGGTACAAGGCAATAGCACAGTGAACACAGCCTGGAGTCTAGACACAAGAGTGCCACAGTAAGCACAGTCTGGAGTCTGGAGGCACAAGGTTACAGCACAGTCATGAAATATTACAACAATACAACTTGCTCAGTAAGCTAGCTGTAATAAGCATAACAAAGGGAAAGACTTTTCACATAATAATACAGCTTAGCCTAATGGAATTGACATGTCCCGTAACAGAGGAGGTTATCAACACTGGACCTAGACTATGAACACCAATACACATTAATTATATCTCGCATTATCTGGTTTATTTGCCAGGTTTCTGAATTGGGTGCACACTGTAAGAATGTGTTCTAATTTGGTGTTAAATTTTTATGAGGTATTATTGTAAATTATTTGTGATGCTGTAGCATTTAATAATTTAGCTTAAGCTTCCTGAATTGTATATTACATTGACTGTCTTCAACTGCATCTTGTGTGATTATATATTTTTCTTGATTTGTATTTTTTTTTGTTAGAAACATTTGAAGATGCATTATATGTTCTGTGTATCAATTTATTTGCCTTTAGGGTTTAAAAAATGGTAAAGATTAATTAATTACATTAATTAATTTAATCAACTACATTAATTTCCAATTTGGATGGATGATCATATTTATGTGAAGGTTTTCTGAAAATATTTTAACAGTTCTCTTGTTCAGGTTTTAATAAGTTTCTCATTTTGTAAACATGTTAACAATTTCACTACTGCACAACTTGGTGTAAATTAACAAACAAAAGGAGTTCACCATCACTAGTAAAGTATATTATTGTACATAATGAAAATTTTGCCTTTTGCAAATGTATAATACAGTACATAATGCCAAAAAATACCGGACATTACTGATTGTCATTTTTTTTATACACTACACATCTGTAATTCATTTTTTCTAATGTTTGCAATTTTACTTTTTACACTTTCCCTTTTCCATTCAGTCTTAAATATTTAATTTTCCAGATGTCGCCTAAGAAATGGAGTAAAAACACATTTGGGTGGGCACGAGCGGAGGTGTTGGGTGCCCTGGTGAACAGCGTCTTTCTTCTAGCTCTTTGTTTCTCTATATTTGTGGAATCCTTGAAAAGGTGAGGAAAATATGTACTGTGGAAAATACTCCCCCCTCCCCTTGCCTGTCATTAATGCAGGGTTACGTTAATGTTATTTGTCTGGTAAAGCGAGAAAGTTGGTTAGTGGATCGGAATGAAAATTTGTTTGCAATTGGATATCATTAACTGGGTCATGGTTGACTGTCTGGACCTCAAATGATGAAGAATATAGAATATAAGTTATCCATATCCCATGGAATAATTAATTGCTCAAACATACTCTTACAAGATTTATGTACTAGTCATGTACAATGATTTGATTATCTGTAGTTGTAAGGTTTACAAATTGTAATACTACTGTATATTCATAGTCACACTGATTGTTTGTCTAGCATTAGTAATGATCATAATGTGATTATGTTCAACAAATATTATTTTGAAAGTTTGTTTTATTTTCAGATTATATGAAACAGAAGAGTTACATAATCCCCAAATGATCTTGATTGTTGGTGTAATTGGATTGATTATTAACTTAATAGGCCTCGGGCTTTTCCATGGTATGTACATAAGATTCTAACGTTACCCACTGTTAGTATTGGCTATATTTATTGTGAAAGTGACTGACAAATTTTCATGTTCATATATTTTTTGAATGACTATTAGTTGACCCAAAAATAATCTGTATTTAGCAAAATCAGATAAATTTAAAACTTTAAAAGTTCTGAATATGTGGCATGTATTATATATGTGTGGTATGTGATATATATGTATGTGTGGATCTGTTAAGGGCTCCACACAGTTGTATTTTGTAACATTCAACAGTATATTTGTGTACCATAACTGCACCTTGTTCACAGAGCATGGACATGGTCACAGCCACGGTGGCCACGGTCACAGTCATGGCAGTCCGGAAAATAAGTTGTCTACCATCAATGCTCTGGTGGCCACAGACGACAATGAAAACGATGAAAGATTCACACCTCCCACCTCCCTGTCCAGCCAAGATAGGCCAGGGGAGGAGGGCAACAAAAGTGCCTCACAAATGAACATGAGAGGAGTGTTCCTTCATGTTCTTTCAGATGCTATGGGTATGTTATTTACGAAGATTTAATAATGTATTTAATTACACAAGCTCTGCTTTTAATTTGAGAAAACTCTCATAAAGAGTTTTCTTTTGGGGTAGAATTTGTCATAATTGCTAGTGTCTTAAGATGCACTATTTCACTAGGATGTTTTGTGGAAGTTTTTTTTTTAGTTTCATCGTACATTTATTGAAAGTGATGTTCAAATAGTTTTGTTGGGGGAATACAAATTACTTTGTGCATGTAAACACACTACAGTAAATTTGATTGATAAAGGACAAAGAGTGTGCATCCTCTGTGCTGGCAAATATGATACTTGAGCAGCATTGCTTAATGGCTTTCATTCATTCTTATACTGGTACTTCAAAGTGGTCTTCATTGTAACTCTCTTTCTTATTGACTGTATCTGATATCTTGCTACCTCTCATTATATTTGTTCACATTGTTTTTAAGCATTGTACCTGTAGTTGTTTGCTGAGACAGCCATTACTTTGAAATTTGTTTGTGTTGGTTTGGTGCTGAATGTATGAATGATGTATAAAACATTATCCATAGAATATAGTTACTGTATATAATACTGTATTTACATGTACATTGTACTGAAAATTTGTTCACAAAAATACTGAAAAAGGAATCTGAATATAATATTGAACTGTACCTTATGTCAGAAATATTGGATATACTAGCATTATTTACTCAATCAAAATTTCACAGTATTAAATAAAAATGATATTTTTAAGAAATTATACAGTTTATTATACATTTTTTTTCCATTTACAGGCTCAGTTGTGGTGATAATTAGTGCGCTGGTTGTCTGGCTCACAGAGTGGGAATACTCAAAGTACATTGATCCAGCGTTATCTTTATGTTTAGTAACCTTAATCACTGCCAGCACTTGGCCTCTATTAAAAGTGTCTGCTCTTATTCTACTACAGACAGTTCCTACTCACATACAGGTGAGTTTCAGCAATTTTTATAAACATGAATTATTTTAGAACTCAAAATGATAGAATGGGAGTTTTGTGTAAAGAAATCTCATAAGGATATTAAATACAGGATGTGTTAGCACAATATAAAAAAAAGTTCATAGAATCCAAAATTCAAGAAAGTACTGTATGTACATATATAATGATGTTATACAGTGGTAGTGTATGACTGCCCTAGAGTAAGATTTTTTTGGTATACGACATCAAATTTGTCGTAAAAATTGAATTGGTGTTTGACGTTTTCCTTGGAATACGATGTCTGTTGATACGTGTTTGGGTCGAATGATCGTGTGGTACTAGGGCGTGGGGCGATTGTTTACCAGTGTATCCCACCTACCTGCTCAGTGACGACCATGCTTCAATTCTTTGTAAAGAATTTAATTGTTTTTGCGCTTTTTTGGTTTCTGAACATAAAAGTTCTTATTATATATCACTCCATGGATCCCAAGAAAGTCAGTGGTAAAATTCGTAAACATGAAAATGGTGTGTAGGTTATTGATGACCCTTCTTCATTAATTAAGAAAATGTGTGCAGTATGGGAAGAAGTGCAAAGGCCATTGTATTAACCTTTTTAATGACAATATGATGTCTCACTACAGACAAGTGTTAAAACTCAGGAAAACACGTGTCAATAGACAGATTTTTAGTGATCAATGATCACCAAGACAGCAGTGATCATTTCATAGCGCTCCTATGCAGCTATACTGGTGTCAGGGAGCCTGGAAACACTGCCAAAAAGCTCTTTCCAAAAATAAATACAGTGTCACCTGACTCGGTCATCTCAACATCTTAGTGCAGGTTGTTGGGCAGTTAGAGATGAATTGCATTTGAGTAACTAGGTATTTATCTTAAAGAATATTTTTTTGTTCGTGAATACTTCTAATGTGCATGTCATTTGTCTCGTGTCTTTTTAACTAACAGGATTATTATCTGTCTTTTCTGTTTTCATTTATTTAGTGCTTTTATAGCCGTGGGTATTTTTCTTTGAATCTTCCATGGTTCCTCTGGGTCCCCTCTCTTTCGGCTGCCTTGGCAGCGGATGACTATCGAATTCATAGTCATTTGCCTTCTGTCTTACACTTATTCGGTCTCAAGCTGTCCTTGGACTGGCTTTTGGAGGATGTGGAGGCATTGAGTGGGGGGGGGGGGGGAGAGGACTGTCCCATGGAGATCACACTCCGACAGGCTGTTGCTATTGTGAGGATGATGGGCAGCTGCCCACCAAGCCCCCTCACAATGGCAACAGGCTGGAAAGGGAGGGAGGGGGGGGGGAGGTTTGCGTGGAAGTAATATAAGGCACATATCAATAAAGCTTATTTACCTAGAAGTAATGTATTGAGTGGCTTTGTTTTGCTTACAGGTTGACGGCATACAGAAACAGCTGTTGAACGTTGATGGTGTTCTAGCCGTCCATGAATTCCATGTTTGGCAACTGGCAGGAGAGAGAATCATTGCCTCTGCTCACATTAGGTATGTTTATATTTTGAATGTGTTGTTAATTTGATGAAACTTTTATAATTTTTGTATATGCATTTGTGAATATTATTTTACCTAATTCTGGTTTTTGAGTAACTATAAAGGATATATTATCATACTCACATGCACACCCACATGCACATACACACACACACCCACACTCATACACTAATAAGATTTTTTTTCCCCAAGATGTCGCAACTTGAAGGACTACATGGTCCTAGCAGAAAAAATAAAGAAAATGTTCCATGAAGAGGGCATTCATTCTACAACTATACAGCCAGAATTTGTTGAGTTCGAGGATGATGGTGCATCCGCTTCCATTGATTCTGCAGAAGACTGTATTCTAGATTGCCCTTCAAAGGATAAAGATGGCTGTGTGGCAAACACCTGCTGTGGGCTCGCCAAACAGGTAAAGAGTGTTTCCAAGGAGGAGTTTGAGTTCAGTAGCATCAAGCCAAATGAAGTGACTTCCCCTGCTTTAACAGAGTTATCGCTTCAGCTGAAAATGTCCTGCAGTCTACCAAATGTCTCGCAAGCTTCTTGTTCTGCATGTTCCACCCATTGGAGTTCCCCTGATGTAACTGCTAATGCTTTTCTTGAAAATGCTAATGCTTTTAGTCAAAATCTACAAAATATTACTCGTACTCAGATTAGCCCAGCTTCTGAAGTGGAAAGTTATGTTGAGGTCTCTCCAGTTGCAGGTGATTCTACAAGCAGAGACACAGTTGATTTTTCTTGTACGTGTCTCAGGGTAAATGACGACCAAATTATACATTCCTGTCATGCGCAAAATAAAAGTCAACATATGAATGGTTTTCAAAAGAATCTAGAAAACATTCTTAATATAAATGGAATAGGACATGGGAGTAGTTACATGGCGTCAATAGCAGTAGTTGTTGATACAGAAACTGAAGAGATTCCTACTTGAGAATGACCTTAATACTGAGTTTATAGAGAATTTGTATCATGTTATCAGTAGAATACCATGGTCATTGGTGTTTGATCTGTCACAAAAGGCTTTCATAGTGCGGCCATTTACTTAACTATGTAATATTTATTGCTGTATAGAATTTGATTTCTAATTTATGGTATAATTATGATGGCATTAATAATTTTGTAAATATTCTTTTAATTTACATATATTTTCTTCCTTGGGGAAATTTAACAAAATTTTACATTCTAATGCTTTGTCAGCCTCATTGTCATTTATTTATTTATTTTCATTAAATGAATAATAATGAAGTATGTTCTTCATTTTATACTTTAGTCTTTACACTTTAGTCTTAAAGTGGAGCAGTTCTTAAGTGATGTTCAGTGACACTCGTGTGTCATTGTTTGTAGTGTTTATAACATGCAGTATGTGTATATTGTGTCATACAGTATGTGTATATTGTGTCATACAGTATGTGTATATTGTGTCATACAGTATGTGTATATTGTGTCACAGAATGTGTATATTGTGTCACAGAATGTGTATATTGTGTCATACAGTATGTGTATATTGTGTCATACAGTATGTGTATATTGTGTCATACAGTATGTGTATATTGTGTCATACAGTATGTGTATATTGTGTCACACAGTATGTGTATATTGTGTCATACAGTATGTGTATATTGTGTCATACAGTATGTGTATATTGTGTCATACAGTATGTGTATATTGTGTCATACAGTATGTGTATATTGTGTCATACAGTATGTGTATATTGTGTCATACAGTATGTGTATATTGTGTCATACAGTATGTGTATATTGTGTCATACAGTATGTGTATATTGTGTCATACAGTATGTGTATATTGTGTCATACAGTATGTGTATATTGTGTCATACAGTATGTGTATATTGTGTCATACAGTATGTGTATATTGTGTCATACAGTATGTGTATATTGTGTCATACAGTATATGGGTACTGTATATGGATACTGTATCATATCATACAGTATCTGTATACTGTAATTACCTAAGTGTAGTTACAGGATGAGAGCTACGCTCGTGGTGTCCCGTTTTCCCAATACTCTTTGTTGTATAACGCTTTAAAACTACTGACGGATTTGGCCTCCACCACCTTCTCACTTGGCTTGTTCCAATTATCTACCACTCTGTAAAAGAAAATTTTCAATTTTTTTCGGTGCCTTTGTTAGCTTGAATCTGTGTCCTATTGTTTGTGAAGTTGCCGGTTTCATGAATTCTAATTTGTCAATTTGATCTATTCCTGTTAGTATATTCTAAGTAGTGATCATATCACTTCTCTTCTATCTTCTAATTTTGGCATGTTTGACAACTCTAGTCTCACCTTGTAACACTTGTTTTTTGGTTCCAGAAGCCATTTTATAGCATACTCTTGCACCTTTTCCAGTTTGTTCTTGAGATTTGGGCATCATTCAACTACTTCATAATTCCAATTTTGGTCTCACAGAAGTCATGAACAGTTTATTTAGTATTTCACCATCCATATACATTAATTAAAAGCAAGTCTGAAGTTGGAAAGCAATGCATACGCTCCTCTCACAATGTTCTTTATGTGTTAAGCTGTGGCAACAGCTTACTATCCAAAGCCACCTCTTGGTCTCGTTCTTTAATAGTTCTGGAATTCCTTTCCACATAATTTGTAAGTTGTGTGTGGTGTATTTTCTCTAATTCCACATTCCATAACATGGCATTTATTTACGTTGAATTCCGTTTGCCACTTGATGCTCCAAGCACTTATTTTATTTAGATCAATTTGAAGGGCATTACAGTTGTCTGCGTCTCCTATTTTCCCCAGTATCTTAGCATCATTTGCAAAGATGTTCATATAATTCTGTGTTCCTTCTGGTAGATCGTTTACATAGATGATGAATATTACTGGTGCAAGAACTGAACCTTGTGGTACTCCACTAGTAACACTCCTCCAGTAGGATACATTGTCTCTGATTATTGCTCCTCACTTGTCTGTCAGTTAGAAAATATTTCATCCATGTCAGACGTCTTCCTGTCACCTCTCCAGCATGTTCCAATTTCCAGAACAGCCTCTTGTATGCAACCCTATCAAAAGCCTCTTTTTAAATTCAGATAGACACAGTCAACCCAACCACCTCTTTCCTGTATTATCTCTGTGGCTCTATCATAAAAGTAGATTTGTTACACAGGATCTTTCTGTTTGAAAACCATACTGTCTGTCCATTATTATAACATTACTCTCTAGGTGTTCAACCCATTTGGCTTTAACTATTTTTCTAGTGTTTTGACTATCACGCTTGTTAATGACATGCATCTATAATTTAAGAGGTACTTCTCGACTACCATTTTTATAAATTGGAACTATGTTTGCCTTTTCCCATATATCTGCTAAGTTTTCTGTGCACAAGGATGTCTGGAATATTAGTTGGAGTGGAATACTCATCTCAGTTGCACATTCTTGCAGCACCCAAGGTGAAACTTCAATCAGGTCCAGCCGCTTAATTTCTTTCTAGCCCCTTGAGTAATTTGTCCACTTTGTCTTGAGATACCTCTATGTATTCTATGACATGTTCTGGAATTTTGGGAGAATTAGGGGCAGTTCTTGGCTTTCACATATTTTCCTATCCTCCTAAAATCACAGACATTTTCCTTTGAATTTAGACCTTGTCCTAAACCAACTATTTTCTCAATGATTTTCATCTCTTCTGCTGCTGTGTCCACCATAGATGATATTTCCTTTTCTAAACACCCTAAAATTATTATGAACTTCTGTCTGCATTGTTTTATACTAATTTGCTGTTGGTGAACAATTCTTTCAAAATTGCTTTCCTAATTTCTGCTTCTTGTTGGTTATTTCTGGTTTAGACCTCCAAACACACACACTCATGATTGTCTCTCTCTCTTTTACAACTTCTGCATTCATCTTATTTATTTCTTCTTCTTTATACTTTTCTAGTTCTCTATTAACCTCCTCTATGTGAGTTGTCAATGAAATTTCTTGCATCTCCTTGCCTAACTCTATGTTAGCCCTCAGGGTTCCTTGGACTTGTTTACCATATGAGTCTATTTTCTTGTTAATCTCCTCAAATTCACCACTCTTCATTTTCCATGCCTCATTATCTTTCACTAGTTCCTTGATTTGTTCTTCTTGTGTCTTTACCTTGTCCGTTACGGCACAAATTTTCTTACCATGCTGAAGAATACTTCATTTTAAAATGTGAAACTCACTCCTGAGAACTCAAATTCAAGTACTTTTTCTTTATACATCTTTAGCATATTATCAATTATCTCTAACTTGCCAAGAAAACCTCCTTTCATCTTGTGAGAATCCTTTGAAGAAATCATTTGCGGGTGTGTTTACCTTCCCCATGGTGGTGGCCATCTTTGTTATTGACGATCATGACCAACACAGAATTTTCACTCACTTTCACTTATTACTTGTATCTTATTTACTTTTAAACTTCCCAATACCTTCATGTAACCTGGGACACCACTTACAGCCCTCACCCTGTTCCCAATACTTAGGCAATTCGATATTCCTGGAGCCTACTGCAATGACTTCTGCCTCCTGGTGCTGCTGAACTGTGTCATATAGTATCTGCATAGTGTGTCATACAATATCTATATATTGTCATACAGTATCTGCATACTGTCATACAATATCTGCATACTGTGTCATACAGTATCCACATGCTGTTATACAATATCTGCATACTGTGTCATACAGTATATGTATATTGTCATACAGTATCTGTATACTGAGTCATACAATATCTGCATACTGTGTCATACAGTATCCACATGCTGTCATACAATATCTGCATACTGTGTCATACAGTATATGTATATTGTCATACAGTATCTGTATACTGTGTCATACAATATCTGCATACTGTGTCATACAGTATCCACATACTGTCATACAATATCTGCAGACTGTGCCATACAGTATATGTATATTGTGTCATACACTATCTGTATATTGTGTCATACAATATCTGCATACTGTGTCATACAGTATCCACATACTGTGTCATACAGTATTTGCATACTGTGTCATACAGTATCTGTATATTGTCATACAATATCTGCATAGTGTCATACAGTATCCATATACTGTGTCATACAGTATCTGCATACTGTGTCATACTGTATCCACATACTGTGTCATACTGTATCCACATACTGTGTCATACAATATCCACATACTGTGTCTTAAAGTATCCGCATACTTTGTCATACAGTATCTGCATACTGTGTCTTACAATATCTGTATACTATCATGCATTATTTGTATACTGTCATATAGTGCCTGTATGCTGTGCCTTGCAGTATACATATATTGTGTCATGCAGTGTCTGTATACTATCATTCAATACCCATACACTGTCATGCAGTGACCATACACTGTCATGCAGTGACCATACACTGTCATGCAGTGACCATACACTGTCATGCAGTGAC